GTTCCCACAGCTCTTTCCTTTTCCCTAAATGGCACCTGCAGGGCCAGAGTTGGACAGAGGAGCACCGGAGCTTGCCTGGCTCATGGTGCTCCAGGGAGTGCCTCTGGGGTGACTCTGGGTCTGCTGGATGGTAATGTAAAGAAGGTTCTTTCTCCCTCTTAGAGAAGCTCACAGCCAAACCGAAAAGCGGAGAAGAGATAAAATGAACAACTTGATTGAAGAACTGTCTGCCATGATCCCTCAGTGCAATCCTGTGGCCCGTAAACTGGACAAACTCACAGTTTTAAGAATGGCTGTCCAGCACCTGAAGTCTGTAAAAGGTGAGTTTGAGAGGAGCTTCCCCCAGAAGCTTCTGGTGTCTTCTCTGATTGGTGTCTCTGGTTGGTTGGTTTTGTTACTGGCTATTGAGATTCTATTCCCATGTGTCTTCCCCCTTTATGGGCATTGTCTGTCCTCAGTCTGTATGTGTCGAGAATATTAAATTGAAAGTCAGAAAACTTGGTTCTGATGAAAGCTTTATCTCAAGCTTACAATGTGAACTCAGAGTCTTTATATTCTGCTTGCTTTTCCTGTGTGCAATATGAAGAGAATATTACTTGCCCTTCATCTCTCTCAATACTTAAGAAGTTCTGAGGAGCAGTATTAATTATTACAGTATAAAGGCATTGGGGGGTTTCTATTTGAAAATAGTCTCCTTGAATTCAATTTCTCTTAAAACGTCATTCACATTTGTCAGCAGGTATCCTCCCATGTACCAAGTCCTTTGTCCTTGCCTTTTGGTATGTGTGTACTTATGTCTAACACTAGCAGTCCCCCAAGTTCAGTCTAACTTTTAAATTGAAGCATAATAAGTACATTTGTGTCTACATTACAGCAGAGACCATACCTGGTTTGGGAATAACTCCAGTCTAAGTTGAGGGGCTGGGTAATGGAAGTAGAAAATTGAGTTTTAGATTATTATAATATTTTTGATACAAACTTGGGTTGAGAAGACAAGACCTGGCAGAGTAGCAAGCTGAAGACCACAAAGGAGACTCTGAAGATTTGTAAAGATCTAAAAGATGATGGCAAAATTTGGCTCAAAATGTATAAAAAAGGAATGAACAAAGGTTGACCAAGGGGCTTGGTCTAGATCTCTGTCCTACACTGTAAGCCATTTTTTTTTTTTTGGGGGAACATCTATTTCAGGGAAAAGATGGACCTCCTTCAGGGACTTTGCCTGATCCAGTTGAAGAAGCAACTTAGAGGAGAGCAGTATTTTTCCTGAGGCTTCCTTTTGGGAGCGTGATTGGAGATCTTACTTTCATAAGAGTCTGTTGTGCAGTAAAGTTCTCTTTTGCCCACAAGTGGACTTGCAAAAAGCGTATGCAGCATTTCCCTTGAATCTTGTAGCAATGAAAATTTGCAGGCTCAACTGAGGTCATTTGATTGCAACCTGGAAATTACCCATGTATTTTCACGTTAGTCCTGAGAAAGGAGAACCTAAGCTAGGGATCGGCCAATGAATTGAACTACATGCCTGCTCTGTGCTTGGGTTTAAAAATGAATGAGTCAAGGTTCTGCCCTCTAGGGGTTCTTGGCCAGACAAGGGGGACAGACTGATGGCAAAATCATTAAAACCTGCTGTGGTAAATGTCCCAGCCGAGGTCTGAGTGTAGTGAGAGGCCATGGGTGCTTGGTGGGGAGGAGGCACTCTCTAAATCCATGGGGGATTCCTTGCAGCAGAGTGTCAATTTTTGCCTTCAGTCCTTCTGAGCTGAAGTGAGTGGTCAGGTGCTCGTCCACACAGCCTCACCAGGTCCTTCAGTCAGTGCTGCTCCCCGTTACGTGAGATGACATAGGCCATCGGATCTGCATCCAGTGCACTTGGTAGAGTATACCGGGCTTGCTCTGCGGAAGTGTAGAAGCTGGGTTTTCAAGGGCTGCGGGTGAACCATGTATCATAATTATTTTAAAGGCAGACCATTGTTGAAATAATTTTTTTCCCCACTACACTCTTCAGTAGTGCTTTTCAAACTAAATGGGTGGGGCCCCAGTGTAACCTGCTGCTACTCCCCACCTATTGCAGAATACAGTAGATAACTGGAAAAATAATCAAGGGCTTAGATGATATGAAAATGTTAGCACTTCTGTAAAACTGTCATAACTGCTTATTCTTAAATTCTGACCTCATCTCCCTGTGGTTTGCTGATGCCTGTGGTCTGCAGACCACGTCTGGAGAGGCCCAGCTCTGCAACGTGCGCTTTCAGAGAGCCTGTGGGCATCCTGTGTCTACAGTCTGTTTGTCAGTGGTGGCAGAGTGGAGTGGTTCATGTGTGTAGGCCCTGGTGGTAAACTTCCTAATCCAGACTCCTTGAACTTCATAACTGTGATTTACACAAGCCATTTGACATTCTAATACTCAATTTCCATGTGTCTAGAATGGGGATGATGCATCTGCCTTTTGGGGTTGTTTTTAAGAGTAAAGAATTAGGGGCTGAGGTTGTGGCTCAGTAGTAGAGTACTTGCCTGGTATGTGTGAGGCTTGGGGTTCGATTCTCAGCACCACACATATACATAAATAAATTAATAATTAAATAAAAGTCCACCAATAACTAAAAAAAAATATTTTTGAAAAAGTAAAAAAATTAATGCATATGAATTGCTAGTGGAGTTTTCTAATGGGGAAGGTGGTAGTAAGAGTGTTGGTAATTGTCATTTGGGGTCACTTTGAGCTCTGCCACCCATAACCAACATTGACTGTGGGAAAGTGAAGCGGTCAGGCTGCCTGGTCGTTTTTGCTGATGGACTTCTGAAAGCAGGTATGTTAGAGGTCGTAGCAGGTGCATGGAATATCTCAGCATCGGTGGTGTTGGTTAACCTGCTGTAGTCTCAGCCCGACCTAGGCTGCTCTCCTTTCTCTTCAGCATGTGCCTCCTCCCAAGCGTGGTCTTTTAGTGATTTTTCACTGACAGGGTTTCCCTAACTTGCTTCTGCTGTATGTGCTGTGTCGATCTTGCTTCAAGCCAGACCTAGAAGTGTCCCCACTGTGTTCAGAATCTCTCCACTGCTGTACCCTGGCCCTGAACCCTGTCTGAGTGTCTTTCGGTTCTTTCTCAACTCCCTCGTGCTACAGTCCACCTGGTGCTGTGTCGTAATAACAAAGGAGAAATCATTCAGGGGAATTCTTTGAGGCCTATGATGCATGTTATTTAGGACAGAGGAGATTTTCCTTTGCTTATGCTGGGCTTTTCCAGATGCTACTAGTCTGGGAAAATGTAACCCACTCACCATGAAGTGCTTTTGGTTTTCTATCCCCTGTCTTTTAGATGATTAGTGAGTGTGGGCTGCAGGTCTATCCATGGATAAATTTGTGGTTAAAATGTCTTGGGGTGTTACCCCCACCTAACTCTTTCAAAGGGAGTTGGGGAAAGTGGATTTGCTTCTGCATCACAATTGCCCTGGGGATCTTGCACTTTGGTTCTGTAGCTCAGCCTCTGCGCCCCCTTGTGGCCACAAAGGGCTATCACATGTCGGGGTTGGATGCTCTCAACACAGGTAGTTTGGATTCTTGCTGGTCTCTGGTCAAACTTTTACCCAGGTTTTGGTCTGACGAATTCCTTCTCTTTTTTTCCCAATGTTTCATTTGCTTTAGAGGCTTCAATTTCAATATAATAAGCTCTGAGGGGTTCAAAATGAATTATTTCATTTGTATTTTACATAGTTTTTGTATATTATTAAAGTCTCCATGTAATCTTTGAAGGAGTTTTCTTAGTTGAAAATACTACAAATCCATAAAATTTGTTTACATTTTCAGGCTTTCCCCATCCAGGGGAATTCTTATGGTGAGTTTTAATGAGGTTAAGAAATTATCAAATTAACTCTTCTATATTCTTGAATATTGTTGCACATGCATTTTATAATGCTTTTTAAAGCTTTTACTATTTGTGAATTTGAATACAAAGGAATGAGTAGTTCCAAGGATTTACAACCCCAAAGCAAGGTTTTTAATCTAGTAATAATGGAAGAAGAGAAAGTTTACAGAAGAGAAAATGCTCCCCCGCCATCCTTCTCCTCCGTAGCACCAGCAGCCTTGTTAGCACTCACTGAGAACTTACCTCATTTCCCTCTCCACTCTATTTTCAATAATTTTTTGGTCTGTTTATTTTTAGGCATGACAAATTCTTATTTAGGAGATCACTATAGACCTTCATTTATTCAGGATAATGAACTCAGGCACCTAATCCTTAAGGTAAGTGAAGGGATACATGTCTAAGTTGTATTTGTCCCTTCATTTCTGAGTGGGAGGCAGATTTTCTTTGCTTCTGTTCAAACACACAGAATACAGAATGTGTATTCTACCACATTTCTTCTAATATAGAAATTGAAGACAGAAATTGGTGTGCCTTATTAGTGAAGGAGAGATGAAGGATGGGCCCTGTCGCCTGTCTGTAGTGTGAACTCCTTACACAGCCTGATGGGTCTGTCCTCACTATTGTCACCTCTTCAGAGCTTTCCAACTAGTGTCCTGTTCCTCAGGATCTTGTTCTCTGATCATGAACAGTCACTGCTTGCCGGATGGGTTGTTGGTTTATGCATTTCTGTCCTCATTCTTCCATATGTGTGAGGATTCAGAGTCATCATTTAGAGATTTGCCATGGAAGATGTGACATGTGACTGGCTTATCCTGGGCAGATGATAAGTGTCTTGGTCATCTGCTATGACATGAGCTTCAAGCTGTACTCATATCAAACAGTCTTCAAATATGTTTTCATGATTTTCTTCATTTTTTCTTTAAGGTTTTTTTTATTTTTGCTTTCGGTGCTGGAGATTGGACCCAGCACCTCGTACATGCTGGGCAAGTGCTCTACTATCCCCAGCCCTTAGATTTTGTTCTCGTTTGTTTTTTAGAAAGTTATTCTTTTCTTTAAACCATGAAATGTAAATAGAGTATTCCTAACATGAATAAATAGGAATTTTTGCAGATAACAAAATAATAATTTTTAAACACAGGGAAATGTATTTCTGGGAAGCTTTCTCACAAATCTTTGTATTTTTTTTTTCAGTCATAACTTCATACGTATAACTGTGGCTCCCACCCCCCTTCCCCCGAATATTTCTGCCTAATTCACCTCACTCGTTTCCAACTGGTAAAAAATAAGTTCAAGGAATGCCAAGTAGGAGTGCCAGACTCCTGTTCTGTGTTTGTTCTTCTCCATTTCCCTGTTGGCTGCATCACAGGGGAATTTGTTGGGTAGATATCATGGGAGATGAGGATATGTTAGAATTTTTAGTCTGTTTTTGAATGAGTGGTCGCATTATTCAGAATGTATGTGAAAGTGTCATGAAGGTGTCCAGTGACTCATGTCCAACCTTTCCTGACCTGTGCAATGCCCTCACCTCGGCACACCCTCCATCCTCACTATGGGTGGGGTTTTTTTGTTTGTTTTTTTTTTGATGACTAGAGTTCCTATATGTAGGAGAGTAGAATTTGGTCAAGGTAATTTTTATATTAGAAAATATCTGAACTGAACGTTCCACAGCTAAAGCTTCCATGTCAAAAACATAAGCTAGGATTCAGTTTGATCATCTATCAATCTTTACGTCTTAATAAATTTTCTTGGGCTGGGGCTGGGGCTCAGTGATACAGTGCTTGCCTAGCACATGTGAGGCCCTGGGTTCGATTCTCAGCACCGCATATAATTAAATAAAATAAAGCTCTCTTGAAAACTAAAAGAAATATTTTTTTAAAAATTCTTAAAATTGATTTTTACCATCTCGGTAAGCACTCTTGATTTTATTGCCACATATTTTCCTTAACATCTGAACTAATGTAGGACATAAGATATTTTACACTTTATTGTATTATTATTTTTTTAAATCCTAGACTGCAGAAGGCTTCCTGTTTGTGGTTGGATGTGAAAGAGGAAAAATTCTCTTCGTTTCTAAGTCAGTCTCCAAAGTACTTAATTATGATCAGGTATCCAAAACTAAGGATGTTTTCCAATGTTTAATTTTTTTGAACAAATTCATATTTCTGAAGCTGTTTCTAAACAACTAATCCATGGGATGGGGGGATTAGGTTTTGCTAAATTAGAAGAAGTTACTTGGAAAGAGGGTAGGTTTTTATTACTGACATCTGGGTTCCTTTCTTGACTTTTAGCAGGCTAACTTTCTTGAACCCCAGCCTCCTTCTATGTAAATATGGGAAATAATAATTATACCTGTCTCTCAGGGTACAGTGACTAAAAAAGATACCAAACTGGAGTGTCTGAAAAGTGTTAGTCACCCTTCTGTATGTCAAGAGACAGCATTATTGCTCATTATTAAGTTATATACATTGCATAATAGCTCTTGATTTCAGCTCTGGCAACAAATCCAAGGCACATCTTTTGTGTAACTGGCTTACCTCATTCTTGAGCACTGTTTAATTTCAACTAGCTACTCAAAAACTACAGTAGTGAAACTAATCCGACAGAGTGAATAAACTAGAAATCAGGTAGACCCACAGCTTTGATCTTGAGTAACCCCATTATTTCCTCTCTGTTTTCAAGGTTGGAAGGATATGAGGCATTTATAGGTAATGGGTTAAATATTAGAAAAGATGTATTATAAGCCTTTATGCAGAAGGATTGAGAACCAGTTAATCATGCAGCTGTGACGGCTGGGGGCACAGGAGTGGTACAAGACCTGATGACTCCTTTTTAATTGGAGTTGGAGATCACCATACACACACACACACACCAAGCTAAGATAACTTATGATACAGGGTAGCATTTAAGTTCCAAATCAGTGGCACAGAGTTCAGTTCCACTGGGCACTGACTTTTTCACGTCAGATCCCATTTAAGTGGCTCACTGGCTACTCAGGAAGATGTTGGGATCCCTGTGATAGATAACAGGATCTAGTTGGCTTTTCAGATTCAGAAACCTGACTTGCTCCAAAGTAGAGAGTTATGGACATACACTTATATCAGCCAAACACACGACACCCTAGTACATAAGTCAGGTTGCTCGTTTTCTTGTCTCTCTGTCTTCTTGTGTCAGCTGGTCCATCTGTTCCACCTGCTACAGGAATGTCTACCTGGGTAATACAGGAGTTCAGAAGAGGTATGATCATTGTAGTCAGGGAAGTGAGAGGTTTTTCTGGGGTGGTATTTTGTTGTTTTTTTTTTTTTAGTATTATGTTTGTTTAGAGTATATACCCTAAAATTGGATATTCTGTGATTTACATATTCTATAATGTAACCTATTTGCTTTTATCAAGGATAAAAAAGATAAAAGTAAATCATAGTGATTTATACATACTATGTGAATTGGGGGATGTTAAAAACAGTAACAAGATTTAACTGAATATTGGCAATTAGGCATTTGTATTTGGTTTGTGTGTATCCAAGAATAGTTCTGAGTTCATGTATTTTTTTCTGTCTACAAATATCACCATGTTTCTAACACTGACTTAGTCAATGTCTCACCATGTAGTGAACATATATCTTTGAGCTTAAGAAAAATCAGCCTCTAACAGGGAATATTTATCATATGTCTGTGTGAGGAAATGTAAAAAAAAAGGTGGCACTGATTTTTAAATGCACCTCTGCCTTATGAATAGGCTAGTTTGACGGGACAAAGCTTATTTGACTTCTTACATCCAAAAGATGTTGCCAAAGTAAAGGAACAACTTTCTTCTTCTGATATATCACCAAGAGAGAAGCTAATAGATGCCAAAAGTAAGTACTCATTTATTTACCATTTTCTATAAATATAATTGTTACCTGAAAGTACAGCTGTACAATTTTTTAAACCAGCTAATTAAGGTTTTATCAAGAAGAGAATTAGTGAACTTTATGTTCACCAGCTCTAGAGGGTGAAAAATACATAGCTATACAGAGAATTCCTAGACTTACACAGACACCTGAAAATAAGCGATCAATTCAAATGAAGGTGCTTTGGGAAACACATGACTGATTCATAATCATTATTTTTTATAAGCAAATGAATTTTTCTAAGAAGATATTGTTTGGGGTAAAAACAATTGTTGGAGTTTTCATTACTTAGGTATATGCTGAGAGACAATACCTGAGTTAGTTCTTTTTAGTATGAAAGACCTTGTGTTATACTAACTGGTCTCAGGAAGTAGACTGATTCTTTATATTCTGTGAAAATACTTAATCTCTGAAAATGCTAAGTGCCAATATGATATAAAAATTCTATGCCTCTGACAGTGTTTGTAGTGAAGTTTTTCTTTATTTTTTTTAATTCAGTTTTTTATTTCATATAAGTTTATTATCCACCCCATGGTGGGGGAGAAAAACTGCACGTGTTTTGAATTGTCCAATGTGATTGCTTGACAACCACACTTTTTGGTATGTTCAGTTCAGGATTTATTGTATAATCATGATGTTGCTTTAAATAATCATTTATTTTCTCAATTTGTTAAAACACTGTAGGTGATCAGAAAACATCAGGAGGTAAATTTTAAAAGTATTTGAAAATATTTCTTTCCACCTCTTCTCTTGCCCCCTTCTGCCAAAGCTGGTTTGCCTGTTCACAGTAATTGTCACGCTGGGAGGACACGTGTGTATTCTGGCTCCAGACGATCTTTCTTCTGCCGAATAAAGAGCTGTAAAATCTCTGTCAAAGAAGAACATGGATGTTTACCCAACTTAAAGAAGAAAGGTATGATCCTTTTGAAATGTCAAGTGATTTGTAGCATAGATGCAAATTTTAATGTCCTAAATACTTTCCATACAGAAAAAAAGTAAAATGTATAATCAGGGCTTCAAGACCAAAAACACCTAAGAAAATAAATTTTTTTTAATATTTATTTTTTCAGTTTTAGTCGGATACAGTATTTTTATTTTATTTTTATGTGGTGTTGAGGATCAAACCAGTGCCTCATGCATGTGAGGTGAGCACTCTACCGCTGAGCCACAACCCCAGCCCATAAGATTGATTTTTAACCATAATTATTTAGATTGGTTCATTGTATCTTTCAAATGTATCAGGTAATTACATATTTTCTTCATTGACCAAGATTTTAATAGTGCTGTTGAAATTATAGTTTTGGGGGCTGGGCTTGTGGCTCAGTGGTAGAGCGCTTGCCTAGCATGTGTGAGACATTGGGTTCGATTCTCAGCACCACATATAAATAAATGAATAAAATAAAGGTCCATACATATAAAAATATTTTTAAAAAAGAAAATAAATTATAGTTTGGGAGCTATTAAAAGAGAAACAAATGACCAGAGATGGAAATGAAAATTTTGTTATGACACTCCACTGTTCCTTTTTTAAAAAGATCTTTTTAAAGAAAAAAGTTTAAAAAAAAAAAAGTGCACACACAAATGTTAATGGCAAAATAGCCTTGTTTGATTAATTTCAGTGAAAGTTTCTTAAAATATCCAAGATGTGGTTTTAATTCTCGTGACATTGTGGTTCTTTGGTAAATATTTGTCTTTGCAATTCTTTTCTACATTCATCTTGCAGATGCTTTATGAAATGGTTAAAAACTCATTTGTTTAACTTTGTGAGGGAATTTTAGGAAATGCAAAATATCTTATAACTTTTTTTGCCTAAGAATATACTAAACTATTTAGGATTTTTTATTCAAATTTCAACTTGAGATTTGTTTTCTTATCCTTTAGGAGGCTTTTTGTATGGAGCTACAGGATTTAACTTACAAATTTTGGTCTGAATTGTTTTTGACAACCGCCTAAAATGATAACCACTCATATCCACTCAATAAGCATTTACCCTGTGCCAGATACTATGCTAAGTGAATTAATCCTCATGAAAACCTTTTTGTTGGGGCTGGGGATGTGGCTCAAGCGGTAGCGCGCTCGCCTGGCATGCGTGCGGCCCGGGTTCCATCCTCAGCACCACATACCAACAAAAGATGTTGTGTCCGCCGAGAACTGAAAAATAATAAATATTAAAAAATTCTCTCTCTCTCTCTCTCTCTCTCTCCCCCCCCTCTTTCACTGTCTCTTTAAAAAAAAAAAAAAGAAAAGAAAAAGAAAACCTTTTTTTTGTTGTTGTTTTTTTGGTGCTGGGGATAGAACCCAGGGCCTCATGTATGCTAGACAAGCACTCTACCACTGAGCTCTCCCTCAGCCCCATGAAAATACTATTCTTACCTCTATTTAGAACCAAAGATGCTCCAGGTTCTGGTTGTGGGTTCTGCCTCACAACAGAAATGCTGGTGGGTAGCCTTAGGGCACAGTCGGAAGCGCCTGGGCTCTGAATTCCCTAGGGTTTTAGTGTCAGGTCTGCCACTTAAGAACTGTGCGCCCTTAGACAATTTCCTCTTAATTTACAAAAAGTGAATGTGATGGACTGAACTTATGTTTCCCCCAAATGTGTCTGTGGAAGTTCTGACCTCCCTGTGACTATATTTATAGCCAGAGGCGTTAAAGAGGTGATGGGGTTAAACAAGGGCTCAATGGTACAGCCTTTGCCCAACAGGACTGGAGTCCTGAGAGGAAGACTAGGAGCTCTAGGGTTGTTCGTCCACACAGAGAAAGGCCATCCGTAAGCCAAGGAGAGAGGCCTCAGGAGAAACCAAGCCTGCCAGTTCCTCCATCTGAGACGTCTAGCCTCCAGCCTTGTAAGACAATTGCCTGTTTGGGCCTGTGTGTGGTGTTTTGCTATGGCAGCCTGAAGTGAGCTGATGAAGACTAGGAGTGCAGTTCTCTTCCATGTGGCTCCTTAGTGCTTGGCTCCCAGGGGGCACTCAGACAATGGCTAGTATTTGTGGCTCAGAAGGAAGAGAAGGAAAAATGAAAGAGAACAAGGAGAGAATGAATACCTTGGAAAGGTATTTCTTGTCCCTGGCCCTTGGTCACACTTGTTTAGTGACCTAACATATGGTCTGTTCTCGAGAAAATAACATGTATTGATGAAAAAAATATGTATCCTGCAACTGTTGGATGGAATTTTCTGTAAAAGTTCATTTCATGGATCATTTAGTTTCTTTGTTGACTTTTGTGTGGATGAATCTGTCAGTGAGAGTGGGTACTAAAATCCCCCAGTATGATTGTATTGGCGCCTCTCTCCCCCTTTAGGTCTAATAGTGTTTGTTTTATAAAATCTGGTGCTCCCACATTAGGTATGTACGGATTTACATTTGTCTTCTTGGTGAATCAGTCCCTTGATCATTAGCGACCTTCTTGGACTCTTGTTAGTTTTTGTCTTAGTCTCATTTGCCAGATGTAAGGGTAGCTATTCCTACTTGCTTTAAGATTCCATTTGCTTGGAATATCATTTTCACTTTGTCTCTTTCTTTATTGGTATAGAAAGCTTACTATAATCGGCATAAAATATTGTTTATTTAAAACAAAATAAAAACAATATTTCATATTGTTTTATTCAGCCAGTCTGGGTTTTGTTTGTTTGTTTTGGTACTGGAGATTGAACCCAGGGGTGCTTTACCAACAAGCTATATCCCCAGTCCTTTTTATTTTTAGACAGGGTTTCACTAACTTGCTGAGGCTGGCTTCCAACTTAATACTCCTCCTACCTAAGCCTCCCAAGTAGGTAAAATTAGAGGTGTTCATCACTGCACTGCACCCAGCAAGGCTTATTATTTTTGGATACCACCTAGTTTTGTTAATATGAATGAAAACATTGTATATATGATTATCCCTATTTTAATTCCTTTGAGTTACGTTGGACATTAGGGTGATGTAAAGGAAAGAGCATGGAATAGTTCTAGGTTTCTCATTTAACTTCCTGGGTTAATTGTGGCGGCATAAGTCAGGCTAGGGAAGAAGTGATAAAGACTAGGACTAAGGTTGGAAGGGACCATGAGTTTTGTTATTTAAGGCATCCATGGACTGTGGAGAAGACGATGTCTATTGGGTGTTGAATGCAAGGTCTTGTGTATGGTTTACAAGACCTCAAGGGTGTTTCCTGCTTTATTCTCCAGCTGTTACCCATGCAGCCTCTGTATTAGCCACATCTGATTATTGTCTCAATCTGTTTGCTCTGGCTGTTCCCTCTGACTGGGAACACCCTTTTTTACCTGTGCCCTCCACCTCCTGTCTGAGTACCTCCCATAATAGAGCATTCACTGTCGAACACCATGGCATGAGTAGCTCAGGATCCCAGCTCTGGACCAGCCTGTTTGGATGTAAACCTCAGCTGCACTCTGTACCTGCTGCAATTTTGGCATTAACCCTGGTTCCCAAGACAATGAGGGTAATATTAGAACCTCACACAGGACTCTGAGGATGGAATAAGTTATACATTTAAAGCACTTAAAACAGGATGGCACATGTCTTCTAGACATGTTTGCAGTTATCACCTTGCTCTTTTTAAGATAACCAATATGGTCTTTCACTTAAATATTCTTTTATTTTTTAAGATTTATTATGGTAACAGTCTTTCCAAATAATGCCAATGTAAAACAAAAGTTTGTTCTGGATTTTCCTAAATCTGATCACAAACAAGTTGTTTAAAAGACTTTTCCTTTCTCTCCCTCTACTTCTTACCTCCTAAATCCCCTTTTTAGAGGACTATGAACTGTATACCGCCCATCTTTTAGGCCTGTGTTGTATTTCATTGTTTTCTTAGGCATTTCCTGATATTTGAGCATATGGATATTTTCAGTTTTTTATTCTAGTAGACCTGTTTGACAGGCTGTTCCCTATGAGTTCATTGCTTGGGATTTTTCTGAAAAGTGATTTTTTTTTTTAGGCAGATTTTATCTTTACCTTTTATTACATTTATCCAAATATTCCCTAAAATATTTCTATAATATACCATATATATCTATTATTATAAGTGCTAACATAGGAAATTTAAGAATATATGCATAATGATTTAAATGTTCTTTTTAAGCTTATGAATATGAACTATAATATACCTTCAAAATTAATAAGCTAAAAGACATGAAATTTAACTTTTTCTAAGATATAATTATTATAATTTAAAATTCCCTGGGAAACTGAGAGCATTGGCACATGCCTATAGTCCCAACTACTGGAGGCTGAGGCAGGAAGAACTCAAATTTAAGGAGAGTCTCAGCAACTTAGCAAGACTTTGCTCAAAATAAAATGAAAAGGTCTGGGGATGTAGCTTAGTAATAGAGCCCTGGCCTAGGTACAGCCAAAGCTCTGGATCAGACCCCTAGTATCACAAAAACAAACTGACTTGGAATATATAAAGTATAGGCCTACTTAATCCTAAATTAAAGCAATCAGTTACTTTTCTGACATAATTTGATTTAGTTTCTGGGGTGGGGGGAATACCTATCAATAAAATCATTATATAACAAGATCAGATATTTTGGGGGGGAGTACTGAGGACTGTACTTGGGGACACTCGGCCACTGAGCCACATCCCCAGCCCTATTTTGTATTTTATTTAGAGACAGGGTCTCCCTGAGTTGCTTAGTGCCTCACTTTTGCTGAGGCTGGCTTTGAACTTTCGGTCCTCCTGCCTCAGCCTCTTTAGCTGCTGGGATTACATGCATGTACCACTGTTCCCGGAATTTTTTTTTTTTAAAGAATAAAAGGAGTAGGATTGTGTAGAATAGAAACAGAACTCTTGCAGGGGTAAGAGGGGAGCCCCTTAGGGGTTGTCCTTGATGGTTTCTTTTTAATCCAATTCCCTTCCCCTTTCACTGTAGCATATTTAAAGACCATTTCACAGCCATTACAATTACTGTAAATGCCAATGTAAGAAGTTGTAGAGTTTATAATTATGTAAATGTCCTTTTCTAAAAATGTTTTAATTAGATCATAGAAAATTCTGTACCATCCACTGCACTGGTTACCTGAGAAGCTGGCCTCCAGATATGGTTGGAATGGAAGAGGAGAGGGATAACAAGAAAGACAACAGTCATTTTACCTGCCTCGTTGCCATTGGAAGATTGCATCCGTATATTGTCCCACAGAACAGTGGAGAAATTAAAGTGAAACCAACTGAATTCATAACACGGTTTGCAATGAATGGAAAATTTGTGTACGTAGACCAAAGGTAAACATTTACATGATATACAGATGTGGCATTCAATGGGGTGTTTGAGGCTATGAAAGCTGTAGTTTAGTAGTACTGCTGGTTTTTGTTTTTTTTTTTTAAGGCTTCAGAGCAAGGAATAAAGTTTAGGTGAGATAAGGGTATGGATGTGTCAGTAAATTTGTTCAAACAAAAATATAAATTGGGAAAATATTTGTTAACCAGTAATGCGGAGACTGGGCCTGGCTAGTGGCCACAGTTTTGATGGGGAGTAGTAAGGGCGCTCCTGGGGTTGGGTGGGGGGCTGTGTCTGTGTGACTGTTCTGGTGTGCAGCCCTAGTCCTGGCTAGAGCCGCCAAGGGCAGCCTAATGGTCACTCATCCCCAAGGCCACAGCCCCACTATTCTGACCACAGCTGGGCCTCCAGTGTTCTGGGAGGGAGTGCACTCACCAATTCTGAAGTTTGTTTTCAATCTTAAAACCAGGGCAACAGCCATTTTAGGATATTTGCCTCAGGAACTTTTGGGAACTTCTTGTTATGAATATTTCCATCAAGATGACCATAGTAACCTGACTGACAAGCACAAAGCAGGTACGCTGTGCCCTGAGCGGAGTACTTTTTGGGTGATTTTTTTTTTATTACAGCTTCAACTCTGAAATTTCTCCTCCTATGAAATTAGTAATGTGAATCATTCTTCAAGGAATTGATTTTTATGGTGACTTATACTTATTGGCTATTATTTTATTAATTCTTAATTACTATTTAGTTTTTAATTGTATCTAATTTTATTAAATTTTTAAATTTGTTCTAATTAGTTATACGTAACAGTAGAATGCATTTTGACACATTGTACACAAATGGAGACAACTGCTCATTCCTCAGGCTGAATGCAATGCAGGGTCACTCCAGTAGTGTAATCATACACATATGTAGGGTAATAATGTCTGTCTCATTCCACCATTCTTCCCATCCCCACTGCCCCTCCCCTCCCCTCACTCCCCTCTGTACAATCCAAAGTCCCTTCATTGTTCCCTCCCTCTTCCCCATTATGGATCAGCATCTGCTGATCAGAGAAAACATTAGGCCTTTGGTTGGGGGAGATTGGCTTATTTCATTTAGAATGATATTCTCTTGTATTATCCATATCTACAAATGCCATAATTTTATTCTTCTTTAAGACTGAGTAATATTCCATTGTGTATATGTACCACATTTTCTTTATACATTCATCTGTTGAAGGGCACCTAGGTTGGTCCCATAGTTTAGCTATTGTAAATTGAACTGCTATAAACTTCTATATAGCTATATTGCTGTAGTATGCTGATTTTAAGTCCTTTGGGTGTAAATCAAGGAGAGGGATAGCTGGGTCAAATGGTGATTCTATTCCAAGTTTTCTGAGGAATCTCCATACTGCTTTCCAAAGTGGTTGCACTGATTTGCAGTCCCACCAGTTCCTTTTCCCCCCACATCCTCGCCAACACTTATTATTGCTTGTATTCTTGATAATTGCCATTCTGAATGGAGTGAGATGAAATCTTAGAGTAGTTTTCATTTGCATTTCTCCAGTTGCTACAGATTAATTTTGTTAAATTTTTAATTTAATATTCAATTTGATTAATATTTAATAATGTTTTTTCTTGTTAAGTTCTACAGAGTAAGGAGAAAATATTTACAGACTCATACAAATTCAGAGTGAAAGATGGCTCCTTTGTAACTTTAAAAAGCCAGTGGTTTAGTTTCACTAATCCTTGGACCAGAGAACTAGAATATATTGTGTCTGTCAACACACTAGTTTTGTAAGTACTTTATTTTTAAGACCTTCATTATTAATCTCAAATGGATGCAATTTTTTTCCCCTAAATATTTTCAGTCTGCAGTTGGTAGAATCCATGGGTGCAGAACTTGAGGATGCAGAGGGCCCGCTATGTTCTGAGTTGTTCTTTGGCAATAGTTCTCCCAAGTTTGCTCTTTTGTAATGTACTTTTGCTTGGTGTAATACATGATGGTAAAAGCATTTATCCAGGCATTTCCTTCCTACCCTTCATGATCTTGTCTTGTCCTTAAACTGCATGTCATTTTGCATCTATATCCTCTAAGTCTGGGTGCCACATGTGACTGAGTGGGGCATGCCGAAGAGTGAGTAGAGATCCAGCCCAAGTGTTGCTAGGCAACACTGTCTATAGCTGTGTCAGCCTGAAGGAAGAGCCACTTTTCCTGACTGGCAACAGTATGTTCCCATGGCCCTGTTCTAAGTTTTACTGTTTTTCTACAAGTTTCTCTTTGATGATGCTATAAGGTTTTATTAGACCTATTTATTTATTTATTTATTTATTTATTGGGTACAAGGGATTTGAACCCAGGGGGGCTTAACCACTGAGCCGCATCCCAACCCTTTTTATTTTTGATTTTAAGACAGGGTCTTGCTAAGTTGCTGAGCTGGCTTTGAACTTGCAATCCTTTTGCTTCAGCCTCCCGAGCTGCTGGGATTTCAGGCATGTACCACCATGCCTGGCTATTGATTTTATTATTTGCAATATTTGGTATATAAAAAGAAGCACCAAAAAGTATCTCAAACATTGCCTGTCACCCATTCCAGTAATCTTTGCCTTCTTATCACTAGGATAGGAACTGAGAATTTGTTACTGTGTAACCATATACTTAATAGGATATTTGGCAATGGCCTTGATAATTAGCATATCAAATACCTTGATGTGGTGATATTAACAATATGTACATTAACATGTACATAAAACATTAAATGGGCCAAGAATTGACAATCAAATGCATGGAGCTTAATGTAGTTGTTTTAACAATTTTCTTTATCTTAGGGGGAAAAGAATCACCTATTTTTTTTTTTTAATTCTAGGGGCCATAGTGAGACCAGAGGAGCATCATTATTTCACTGCAGCTCTCAATCATCAGAAGGTAAGTTTAGGTTTTAGTTGGTGGAAGACTTGTTGCTAAGACCATTAAGACTATTACTTAATAGTATTATGCAGTTACTTTTTTTTCTGTCTTGGAGAGGGGAAAATTTCAAGGTGAAATTAGAAGACTTCTATGGGTGGCTTATCGGCATCCCAAATTTGGGAGTAAGTTCACAGGGAAATAGGTACCCCCTTGGAAACTCCCAGGAGTGCCACCATGTCCCCTTTAGAATGCCCACAGCTCTTTGTTCACACTTCGGTTACTGCCTTCATTGTGTTTCCATGAGTTGTGCACTTGTTGGGCTCCCCCTGGCTTCAGGAGCAGGAATAGTGTTTTAACAGCCTTCCCTGGCAGCCAGTGTCGTCCCTTGTCTGTTGTGGTGCTTGTTAAACATCTGTTGCAGAAATAAAAGTATTAAGGGCAGCTTTTGCTTATCTGTTACCATATTTCACCACATAATTATTACCACCTCATTTACGTGGATTCCATGAATCCTAATGTTGCACCAAAGACAGTTTAGTAAGAATGATTTTTAAGTAATACCAGCACAATTTCTATTTTTTTAAAATTTTACATAATGTTGGCACCCCACTATTTTGAAAAAAATTTTGGCATAAAATCTGTAATGATTATTGGTGAAATATGGTAGTTTTTAACCACAGGGTTGAACTAACATATTTGTGTAATAAAAATATTAGGAAATATGAGAAATAAAGTAGTATTTCTCAGGCCTTCGTATGGAGATGAAAGTAGGAGGAGAAAGAGAACTAGAAAATTATTTGAATTGAAAGTTATTAACCATATGAAAAATGGTGGTATATATGCATAATAAGAATTGTAATGCAAAAAAAAGTACATGTATAAAGACATGAATTGGTGTGAACATGCTTTATATACAATGATATGGAAAATTGTGCTCTCTAAGTGTAATAAGAATTGTAATGCATTCCACTGTCGTGTAATTTTAAAAAATAAAATCAATGAAAAACAAAAGAAAAAAGATCTGGAAAACTGGAAAAAAAAAAGAAAGTTATTAACCAAAGTCACATAATTTTTATAAGTCTCAATTGAATTATTTTTCTTTTGCTGTTGCTTAGAATCCCCTAAGCAATCTTGTATCCATGTGCCTGGAATGTCTACTGGAACTGTACTTGGTGCTGGCAGTATCGGAACAGACATTGCAAACGAAGTTCTGAATTTACAAAGGTAATGCTTTATTGCTGCATATATTTTCACAAGTAAATTTATTATTTACAAAGCCAACATACAAAAATCAGTTTTTCTATAAGCAAATAGCCAGTTTACTAACATAATGGAAGAGATTGGCACTAGAACAATATTAAAAATATATATTTTTTTAAGTTACAAATTTTTAAAAAATATTTCTTAATTGTCAATGGATCTTTTATTTAATTGATTTATTTATATGCAGTGCTGACAATTGAACTCAGGGCCTCACACATGCCAGACAAGCACTCTACCACAACTCCAGCCCTATAGATTTCATAAGAAGTGTCCAGGGCTGAGGCTGAAGTGTAGATCAGTGGTAGAACTATTTACCTGGCATGTATAAGGTCCTGGGTTTGACCAGCACCATCCAAAATAAAATAAAAAAGGAAAGTGTCCAGACCTACATAAAACAACAACCACTTTTAATATTTACAAAGATAAAGAAAAGGTAACTCAAATAACTTTTGTGATGACATAGCTGTTTTTCATTGTGAAAATTTGATATAAAATTCAGTGTCCTTAGACTGACCTGAATCAGGTAAAAAATGCTATCATGCATTTATTTTTGGAATTTGACAAATGACACTACTTGTATTAAAATGTCTAGAAAACTTCAAAACTAAAATAAAATAAAATGAGACTAACCCTGTCAGAGATTAAAAAATGTTTTAAAGCTGTAATCATTATATTTTGGTACAACCCACAAATAGATTAATGTAAAAGGTTAGTTTTCCAAAGTAGACTCAACTGCATATGGAAAGTTACTGTATGGTAAAAGTGGCTTTTTAAATCAGTAAGTGGAAATAAGTCATACTGTGCATCAATTTTAGTACATAGATGCAAACTTTATAAGAATTTATATATTAAAACTTTTTATAACTATTCTTTATGCTATAAAACTCCTCATATATTAAGATATTCAAACTATCATGAAATGAACATTTTCCAGTTTGATTTATCTTTAACTTTGTTACATGAACTTTTATAAAAATGTATGTATATATTAAACTTTACATAACTGCATATTAAACTTCATAGTATAAAAAAGTTTTAATAATCAAAACTCAATTTTTGAAAACATTAGCAGATATGAAGAGAATATAAAAATCAAATGGCTGAGAAACTTTAAAAATTACTCATCTCTACTCAGTTAAATATACATACACAAAATTTAAATGAGGTTGGTACTTTTTACACTTAGAAGATTATCAAAGATTTGGAAGTTGATACTCAATATTGGTGAAAGAGTGAGAAAACAGACATCATAAGGTGTGTGAATATATATTAATACAGTAACTTTGGAGGACAATTAGAGAATACCCATAAAAAAATGTAAATGTATGTATAACCTCAAACTCACCAATTCTACCCCAGAAGCACATGTTTTTAAACATCTGTATAAAGATCTATGAGCAAGACTGTTTTTTTCCTTTACTATTTGTTAAATATTTATCATAACCATAATTCATAATTCTTGGTATATCCATACAGTAGAATGCTCTGCAACCGTTTAAAAATGAGTAGCTCTATTATGCTAATATGGAAAGATTGAAATACATTGTAAATAGCAAAAGGCACAGGAATAGAAAAAAAAATAACACGTAGAATAACAAACTTGCATGAGGAAAAAATATGTGGATATGTGTGTATGCAGGTTCATAATTGCCCACCTAAAACCCTTGGAACCACATGTTTTGAACTTAGAATTGTTTAGAACTCGATTTCTTGGGATTTTAGAAAAATCATGTTTGGGGGCTGGGGCTAGTAGAGCGCTTGCCTAAAAGCACATGTGAGACACTGGGTTCAATCCTCAGCACCACATAAAAATAAATTAATTAAATTTTAAAAAAAGAAAAATAGTGTTTGGGAATTCCCACACTCCCCTTTTTAAGGGTTATATATAATACCTCCAGAGAACACTTGTATCATGGTCAAGACTACAGTCATTTGCATCAGTATTTCTGCCATGAGAGGTAGGTATGGATTAAGTGGAAAAGTGGGATATGCTTCAAAATAATCCTAAGGGCAAAAAGGAAATAAGAGCTTGTGGATATATACATTCAATAAGATTAAAAAGAGTTAATAAGTATTGAAGCTGTTCAAGAGTATATGAGATTTCCTCATACTATCTCTTTTTTTTATCTGTTGGAAATTTTCCATACTAGAAGATAAAAATATATATTTGGAGTGAAGCATGTAAATACTCATTAAATAACATAAAATGGAATTTAAAAAAAAAATATCAGTCAATGGGGCTGGGGATGTGGCTCAAGTGGTAGCGCGCTCACCTGGCATGCGTGCGGCCTAGGTTCGATCCTCCAGCACCACATACAAAGAAAGATGTTGTGTCCGCCAATAACTAAAAAATAAATAAATATTTTAAAAAAAAATCAGTCAAGGTTAGATTTTACTGAGTTCAGATTTTGCTACTAAATGATTTTAGAAAAATCTTCCTATTTTCAGGATGTTTGAGATTTTACAGTTATAGAGACAGAACCTCTGAGTCTATAATATAATATATGGCAATATGAAAAATTTGTTCAAACTGGCTATCTTTCATATTTGGGACAAGGTATTAGGTGACAGTAGATATAAAAGAATGATATTTTTATCTTTTTATTTGACTTTGTACAATTTTAATTTTTAGCAATTTTTAAGAATTTTAAATTGAAAAAAAATGACTACTGAAACACTTGCATTTGCCTTTGATCTGCCTATTTAATGAACAAATACTTATTGAATACTTAAACTGTGTGCTATGTACTTTAATAATTCAGTTGTAAAACATGTTTCATCATGTGCTTTGATATAAATCTCATCACAAACATACAGTGTAAAACTGATTTTACCACATAGTACATGATTAGTCGCTCAAATGTGTGGTTTGCATTTTTGGCTTCTAATCCTAGAATGACTTTCATTACAGGATCCAAGTTTCCTTCCCCTCTTAACAATTCAGTGACCTAGGCAATGGAAAAGACATTAGTGGATCTGGATGTGCATTTGATTTTTTACCCTTTTTAAATGTACAGTTTATTAGCATTAAATATCGGCACATTTAGTGCAGCTATCACCACTACTGCCAGAACTTTTTCATTTTGCAAAAATGAAGCTCTGTACTTTTAAGTAAAAACTCCTTTACCCCCTTCTTCTAATCCCTAGCAACCACCATTCTATTTTAGGTCTATGAATTTTATTACTCTGAGTACCCTGCGTGTGGAATTAGACAGTATTTGTTCTTTTGTGACATGATGCTTTAAAGGTTTATTCATGTTATAGCATGTGTAAGAATTATCTTTTAAGGCTGACTCATATTTCATTGTATGTGTGTACCCCATTTTATTTATCAGTGGATGAATAGACTCCTGGGTTGTTTCCAACTTTTGGCTATTATGAGTAATGCTGCTATGGACATGGATGTACAAATATCTGTTTGAGTCCTTGCTTTCAATTCCTTTGTGTATATACCCAGAAGTAGAATTGTTAGATTATCTGGAATTTCTATTTTTTTTTTTTTGAGGAGCCACCATACTGTTTCCATTTTACACTACACCATTTTACATTCTCACCAGCAATGCACAAGAGTTTGAATTTCTCCACATTCTCACCAAAGCTTGTAATTTTGTTTTGTTTTTTGATAATAGCCATCTTAATGGATATAAAGTGGCATCTGCTTTGAGTTTTAATTTGCATTTGCCTAGTGATTACTGATGCTGAGAATTGTTTTCACTTGTTCATTGGCCCTTAGTCTCCCTTCTTTGGAGTATTGTCTATTCAGGTCCTTTGCCCATTTTGTAATATGGTTGTTTTGATGTTGAGTTTGTACAAGTTGCTTATATATTCTGGACATTAGCCCTCAATCAGATAAATGATTTGCAAGTATTTCTTCTCAATCTATGGTTTGCCCTTTTTGCTGTTTTTTGTTTTGTTTGTTTTTTTGCACAAAAGTTTTGTTTCTTTTTTTTTCTTTTTTTTTTTTTTAGAGAATTTTAACATTTATTAATTTTTTCTTAGTTCTCGGCGGACACAACATCTTTGTTTGTATGTGGTGCTGAGGATCAAACCCGGGCCGCACGCATGCTAGGCGAGCGCGCTACCGCTTGAGCCACATCCCTAGCCCAAAAGTTTTGTTTCTGATGTTCAAATTTATCCACTTTCTTTTGTTATCTCCTTTCTTGGTTTTGGGTGTCATATCCAAAAACAAAAGCTTGAAAAAATTGGTGCCAAATTCAATGTTATGGAGCTATTCCACTATTTTCTTCAATGAAATTTTGGAGTTTGAGGATTTAAGTTTAGTCTTTGATGTTTTTATACTGTCTAAGGTAAGAGTTCAACTTCATTCTTTTGCATGTCGATATCCAGTTTTTCTATAATGTTTATTGAAAAGACTACCCTTTTCCCTCATTGAATGTTCTTGGCATTCTTTTTAAAAATTGTTTGACCATGTTACAGGGATATCATAAGTGAAAATAGAGCCATGTGTTGACAGTTGGGTTCTGTCAGAAAGTTCATTATACAGCAGGGAGGGCATTTCTATATGGTGGCACTTCAGTTAATGTATAGAGGTGAGAAGGAAAAACATGTTGGTTTCAAAGGACAAGCACATTCAATTGAGAGAGGAGCTGGTTGATGAGCAATGAGGAGTTCTCACTAAGGTAAAGTAGAGAAGGCACTTAGATTTGTTTTTGCAGGGGACTAATATGAAGACAACCATGATTCAGAACATTAATTTGGAAGTGAAAGGCATGAGGGATAGGATATTTTTCTTCATTAATGCAAGACTAAGTGAGCAGGCAGTGATTTTAAAATATGAACCAACCAGTGATGTCAGCAAGATGGCAGAATAGGACTTTAAGTGCCCTTTTCCTTTTAGAAACATTAACACAAACAACTTTATGCTTGTGAAAATATCATCACAAGAGCTAAAGAATTCATGTGAGGGAAGGAGAGTAAAATGAGCACTCAACTTTACTGTG